TTTCATTTTTTTCCCTACAGGGGTATGATCCGCTGTGAAAAGGCCCACAGCATAGTTGGCCAACCTCAAAACAAACAAATAAAAGGAAGATACCCTTTACAAAAACTGGAGTGTTCTCAGGAGGAGAGGTAGAAGACCTGACAGGATTTAAAATATCTATGTATATTAGTATTTCTTTTAACATGTAGTAAATCCCCTAAGCTGCTTAGCTAAACTTACAACAGCTGAAGAAGGGGAATTTTACATATAAGGATGATAAGAAAGTACTGCAGTACCTAAGGGAACAGCAGCAGAAACAGCAGACACCTCTCAGAGTTTAGAATTCAGCCTTCAATGAATCTTCTACCGATGAGCCAAATTTACAGTGAGACTGTACTCATAATTCATAATGGAGTCATAACAAACACAGAAACAACCAAATGACTGATCTGTAAACAGTTATCATCTTTGACAGTGGCTTGTCTAAGGCTCTGTCCAGGCATAGATGTTTACAAAATGCCCTTCAGCACTGTTAAGAGCAAATATGTTACTTCCAATTCAGGGCTCCGTGCCAGGCAGTCTTGTGTGTTATTAATTACTGGGAACATGCTTGCCTTCTGTTTTCATTTCCTGACATTAATGGATATCACTTGTGGTACAATTGTAAGCACAGCTACTCATTTGGACTGACTTAACATAAACCCCAACAAAATGACTGACAGAAAAGATCTGCTCCAAAAATGCTCAAAGCAAACAGGACACACAACATTTGTGAAGTTTAACTGTGCACACTTGTAAAGTAGTACAACATGCTTTAGAGGCTCTGATGAAGGGCAGCACAAGAGCTCTCCCTAGCAGAGGGATCTGACCCTGCAGACAAAGGAGGAATGACATCAGTCCAGCATGACCAGCCCTCACTTGAGTGCTCCTGCTTCCAAATCCTTTCTCACTGCTGTGTACAGAGCTTCAGAATGTCAAAAGACCCAGAATCCAAGAGGCACCAGTTGGCATAAAATGGGGAGAATATGGTGAGTCCAAGGTCTTGCATATGACCTTCTAGACACCAGATGAAGAACAGATCTAGGGTAAATGGGCCTGGAGATTTCCTGAAAGCCCATCCTAAGTGTATAGAACAAGTATTGAAAGAAGAGACCATTTTGTTGTTACTTTGAAAAGAACTAGAATTTTTAGGGAAGTGCTTGCACCCTTTGCAAACCACAGAAATGAAGGTTTATTACTGAAAATCAAAGCCATTATTTCAAAAGAATTTTTTTCTACTCTTTTTTGCCTTCCCCTTTCAAATATGCTGATAATGACACAATCTCATTTTTAGACATGGAGCATTTTGTACTGACGCTATCCTGAAGAAGACAGTATTTGTCATACATACAGATTTAGCTTAATCTTAGACTAAATGCTCTTTAGCAATCTGTACAGACAGGAGAAGTCTAAGTAAAACAGCTGGGATAATGCTCATGACATTTCCTCAAACTCATCCAGCAATAATGAACAAACTCATTACCTCCACTGCAAATTTAAAGGTGCAGCAGCTGTTGACCAGTCCAGTTGAAGTAAAGTCAAGCCATAATTCTGTGACAATTTACAGAAAACTTTCCTTGGAATTAAAGAATACTTCACTGTCAAATACTTCACTTGTCCATTTACCTACAGCTTCACACTGCTGCTACACCTGCCCTGCAGACAGGACAAATTCTACAAAAGAGAAGATGACTAAGTGGCTGCTTTCATGACTGCACTGGAAGGCAGGTAAGCTGCTCTCTGCTAGGACATCTCTCCTTTAAATGTAAACAGAGTCAATCATATCATTTGTCCATTACTAGCTGCTCTGCAGACACCATTCTGTACTACACCGTGAGTTGTTCCAAGTGCTAATATGCAGTCATAACGGGCTTGGAAAATAGTGGTTGAAAACACTGATTCAAGTACTCACAAGCTCACACAGGTAGTCAAACTACATGCACCCTCTGCAGGTTCTTAGGGTAGAACTCTCAGAATATTTCAGTCCACTTTCTCACAGAAAACTTTTGCATTAATAAAACTATGCTTAAACCTTACAAAAATACAACCTTCCCCTCCCACATTTCCTATTCATCCCTGAACTGCTACAACTTCTCATAAGTATTCACTAATTCCCTGCAACTCTTTCTCTCATCCTGATCTAGAAAATAGCACCTATTTTCTATGTTTTAGCCTGAAAGCTCACAGGATAGAAACCACTAAGTACACAGTGAAGTTACTTCTGGAGAGAAGTCACTCCTGTCACTCAAATTTTCTTTCTGGTCTTTTCTAACATAAGGAGTGCAGTAATCTACTGCACTCTACAATGCAGCAGCAGTCTACAGCAATCAAATCCAGTATTTAGTATTTAAATGTTAAGATGCTAAATTTGTATACAATCTTTTTTGGAAGAGGCTTTTAATGTCAGTATTATGGAGCAATATGGGGCTTAGATTCTGTTCACCAAACTTCAGATGCCTCAGAGGAGGGAATTTCTCAGCAAACATCAGCAGCAAGAGGCTATGAATGTTCAACTGAAATAAAAATGAACACTTAATTTACCCCATTCAGCAAATGCTTCCTTCCTTCTGAACACTTAAGCTCCAAAAGAATGTGACTTTTAAGAGAGTTTAGCTCTCAGCAAGAATGATAATTTTCTTGGTCTCAATTCCAAGGTTTGTAATAGGATACAAGTCTTCAGATGAAGTGGTTATGCTTGTTATAATTGTGGCTCTTAAAAAAGATCAGTGGTTTAATGAAAAAAAAAATTGAAGTAATTTTGCATCCAGTGTCATCACAGGAATACAGGAAAATTAATGCGGTATTTCTCTAAGCTAGAATTCTAACACAAAACAACTAATGAATTCATTATAAACAGTGAATAGTTATCATGCAGAAAATTACAAATGATATGATATTGGACTACCAACTGCTGTAATGCAGGACAAATACCCTTTTATATGACTGTTGTGGTTCATAAAATATTCTGTGCATCTATATTCCTAATTTAGTTAATTGAAACACGATCATGTGAGAATTGCTTTTTTTCACCAAACCACTAGTTCAGAGATGTACCAAGTCACTCCAAGAGTAAACAAACTGTGATCTTGCCCATCATGGCATACTACAAAATTATTAATCTTCATAGAGGATGAGGAAAGAATCCATTCTTAAACTCCAGTGCTGTATTCTCCCTTTCTGTACTTTTCTCTATGAAAAACCATAGACATCTTCTTTGTGCTTAATTTCTCAAGGAAAGATTTAGTGATAAGATAGTAAAACCTACTTTAAGAGCTTCACTGACAGCAGTCAGTGACAGCACAAATCCTATCCTTGAACTATACAGGCAGGAAGAACAGATCTGGAGTAATAAACACAAACTAGATCAGAACACTGTGGTCCCAGCCCTTCCACCACCACAACAAAGACCTCTCTCCCAGAGTTGTAGGGTTTCTCTGATGTGCACTCAAGTAACTTGCTAAAAAGACCCAAAACCAAGTTACAATTTAAGTTCAAACAAGGAAAGTTTTCGTTGTTGCCATCAATATTAAAGCTGTCAGAGGCCCAATGCATCTGTTATTCAGCAGCTGCAGAAACAGGTGCAAGTTTGCATATTCAGAACTTCCCTCAGATGTCCCAAGGAGGCATCACATTATCATTACCAGTACTGAATTTATAAAGTGCCATAACAATACCCAATCCCTTTTGCTACAGCAAAAGAGCAATCAAAGCAAAAATTTATCTTCTGAATTTGAAAGGGACTGATCCTAGCTCCCCCATTCCCAAAGTGGTTTTTTTGCTAGGAGTTGGGAACACAAGCTCTTTGCTGATCTTGATGTCCTTAGGTTACAACAGTTTGTATTAGAGTTCATCTTTTGTATTTCAACAGAAAGAGTAAATGAGTATTTGTCTTTTCTCCCTCTGTTCTTTTTTTTTTTTCTGTCTATTTCTAAATCTGAATTACGTGGCAAATTTCTGTGGAATATGACTAAACTGTTTGAATGCATTTTTAATTTGAGCTATGCAGATACCATTTTCTACAAACACTGATTAAAACTCAAAAACTTTCCTCATGTGAATACAAGTGACAATTCCACTTGGAAAATGGACATTAAGAGATGAAGCAATTCTCTGATCAAATCAACACCAGTGAATATCTCAGAGACCTGGCACACAGTGATTACTGGACTTCTGGGAAAAAGAGAACTAGCACTGTCTTTTGAGAACCAGCTGACTATTTCAGCCTCTTCCCAGACAGTCATCAGAGCTTCACAAGGAAGGATGAAGGAGCTTGGTTTGATTACATTTAAAATGGTGAGTCTGACCAAATCTGCAGTTTATTGGGCGTTTCTCTTCCCTTAAATACCACCTTAAACTTGACCTTTGCTCTCACCCACAGATCGATACAACTGCTTCTGCTACCATTCACCCAGTCAAGTGGAGAACTGATCAGAACTAAACAAAGTTTTTTAGGACTGGTTATCTTATTTAACTTGAATCAGTTACAGAATTGGTCATGTGCAGAGTGGTACTGACATGAGGTAGGACATGACACCCTGTGGGTTTAGTTAACCTGGAAGGTTTGGCCAAAAGAAGAGTTCTTTCAGCTCAATGCTTAAGCAAATGCAGAAGGAGGTTTAAAATTCAGGTCTTGGCACACAAGTTCTGCTGGCAAGCATTCAGCTCACTTGCAAACAGGAGCATCTAAGGGTTGTGATCATGCATGTTTTCTCCCAGTGGTGGTGAAGAGATGATACTGACAACTGTACTTAAATGTGTATTACTTCTCTACAGATAAACCTGCATCTTTCTTTAGACACCTCCTCCTCTCACAAGCCACTTCGTTTTCTTGTTTCACATTAATAAAAAGGACTACATAAACTTTGCATGTAAAAAGGTGACTTAAAAATGCAGAAAGTCTCAACATTCCCTCCCCAAATCCTTTGGAGACCGAGTCAGTTACATGACTTCAAAAAGGCAAATATGGCACAAAAGAATGGAAATTAAGTTAAAAAAATCAATTTTATAAATATTTTTCCTCTGTACAATTTTTCACAGCCCCATCCCTCCCACCCATTTTTATTCACATTTAGTTTTGTTTAATTCCCACCCAGATTTATTTTTAAATCATAAAATATATATTTTAAATCTGTTCATATTTTAAAATATTTACAGGAAAAGTTCCTTCTGTTGAGGTCATGAAGAGTCTGTACAAGGAGAGGGTGGAGGGGGATAGAGGTGAAAATAGCTTCGTTCCGTGGCAGGAGACGGAGGGCAACTTTCCTCTGCCGACATGTACTGACTGCGAGGTGTGGGCGGAGGGGGATAAGGATCTGAGTCTGAATTTAAATCTATATAGTATTTGTTGGCCTTCCATCGACTGGTAGTATAGTCACTGTCACAAACATCTGTGCTGCATGGGGTTGTGGGTGGAGCTATCCCTCGTATAAGGTATGGCCTGCAAAAAAAAAAAAAAAAAAAAAATAAAGCACATGCATTAGTTGCAATCTGAGGAAAAAAGAAAGAGATTGAAAATGAACAGCTCTGTGTGCTCAGTCAAGATGCCTGCTCCCTAATACTATGTGAGCCTTAATTCAGGCTTTCAGAGCAATCCAACAGGAAGTATCTGAACTGTGTTAAATTTGAATGGCATAAGTATCCTCAGCCAGCAGCATATTCTTCCAGCCCCCAACCTCCCTGAGGAGACCACCATGACCATTTAGCCCAGTCACTAAGAAATAGGCTTATTTATATTTTTATATATATATATATATATATATTTAGGCTTATCCTCAAGACTTATCTAAGAGTTTTAAGACAAGCTTGAAGAAACGGACAGAGAACACCAACCTTCTCTATACAGGATGGTCAGTGGCTGTTGCACAGCAATATAACATACATAATTTGAATGGTCATTTATTAAGAGGAAAAGCATTTTTTAAATAAAGTCATGTCTGAACAAGAACATATTACTTAGGATCTAAAATTAAAGGCAGATCAATAGAAAATTTGGCAAACCTTTTTATCTGAACTGTACCTGTATGATCTTGTGTTTGAAGGAATGTTTGAGGAATAAAACATCTCTGCATTATACAGGGAGCGATCAGTAGCTGGGGAAGGAGGTGGGTTCAAGATCTAGGAAGAAGAAGAAAAAGAAGTGTGAAGTTTTGGGTTAATTATACAACTTTATTTAGTTTGAAAATATTATTTATGCCTTGACCCTGTCACTCATCCTTATTCTAGTTTCCTCTCCTTGCTGCTTGGATGGGTTAATGCACTTTTAAAGATCAGAGTTCATTACAAGACTTTACTTTGGACTCAGGTACAGTGCAGGCCTTTAAAGTTCTCAAAGTACAGGGCATTTTCTTCTTTGCCATATTTGTTATTATGCTGGAAGGCTGCAGTAAAGCTGGAAATTAGACCTAATTTTGCAGAACCTCAGTGCACTTACTTGCACATAAGGACTGGTAGCATCCTCAGCAGATGCTAATGGGAAAAAAAGTATGTTTCACTCCCAGCCCCTAAACATACCCCCGGTCAATAATAGGGTCAGGAAGCCAAGTTCCTTTACTATAATAAGAGAACTCCACCCTTCCCTGAATGTTTCATTTTTACTGCTGTTCTGTAAACGTATCATTTTGGCACAGTTCACAATGCAAAAAGCCTATGAGCTAAAATATAATTATAGCCTGCCTATGTGTGTGCATATACCTGGTTGCTGGTAACCTTCACACAAGAAAAAAAGTTCAGCATGATTCAGAATAATTTAGGTTTCTTCCTCTAGCAGGAAGCAGAACCCCTGACATGGCCAGCAGGATATTGACCTAAACCCAAGAAGAATGCTTCTTCACCCCTTCCAGTGTGGAAAGTTGCACCATTGCTGTTGACTGATCCTCGCTACTGATGTGACCATCTTGTACACTGCCTGTCCTGGGCATTCTGCCAAATCACGGCCTGCCACAGTCACCATCCTTCCTCTGTCTCTGCTTTTCTCCCATAATAATACTCTAGAATCACTGGAGTGGAGATCATTGTTTCCGTCTTCACTGTGCTGCAAAATGATTCCTGACCATTGAGTTGAGCTCATCGTTACTAATACTGACAAGCCCTGCATCCAGATTCCTGTGAAAGGAGACTAGCTTGTTGCCAGGTGTGGGGAATAATGAGTAATTGCTCCAAGAGTATCTTCCAGAAATCCTCTTCCTTGGAGGAGCACTGCATGCTACTTTCGGATTTGCTCCTACTAAAACCCTGAGCTGCACCAATATCACTTCATGTTGAGATTAAATGCAGCAAACCATGTCAGCCAGGATGTCTGTGGCCAGGTTCTCATGTATATAAACTGGCATAACTTCTTTGATTCTTTTCCAGGCTCTATTCACTGGAGCATCTCTCATTAACACAAAAATGTGTAAAAACAAAATGAAAAAGCCAAGACAACTAGGTCCTGAGATCTGTCCTTTTGATTATTAACAAAAAGCTGGGTAATCAGCTACCAGGCAGAACTCACCACAACATTTGGATTAAGCAGTAACTTTAATGTAACTTTAGCTTCCTTCTAAGAATCCAGCATGCCTTTCATAAAGGAAAGGCTGATATCATCCCTTGCAGGCCCTGGCTGACATAGCCCAGAGTGGAAAGCAAGGAAGAAGAATTCCCAGCAACAGTCAGAAAAATCAAACGGAACAGTCGATCTTTTGACCTGTAACACAGATCCCATAGAATCACACATTCAATACTTCTGAAAAATCACCTGCATAGCTGGCAGATCATCTCTGGCAGCTTGTGTGAGTGTAAGAGCAAATGTATTGCTCAGGAGCACTAAGGAAAAAAACTGTCATGACAAAATGCTGGCAAACAGTAACCTTTTTGTACCTCTCCTATGTATTCATACAGAATTTCCATTCTTGCTATACATCTTTGAATTCATGAAAACGTGATATGGTGACTAAAATTCTGTCACTTCCAACACTTAAAGCCAGAAATGGAGCTAAATTTTTGCAGCAGAAAAATGCAAGCAAAGCAATTTCTGCTTTACACTGCTGTACCAGTGTTTTCCCCCAGTGTATGCACTTGGTTTTCTGAATCAACAATTGACACTTTATCTAAACAGCCAGTCAAGCTTATTTCACATGAGTTTGCATTCCAGTCCTGTTGCATCTTGTTTGCCTTATTATTCCACGTGTGCCTGCAGCATTATGCAGTGCAAAATATCACTGGGCCACTGACATTAGACTTTACAAAGAACAAAGGAGGTGGCATCTCCAAGGGAAGAACAGCAATGTCCAGGAATAAACCAGCTGAGTATCATTCTAATAACAAAACATTTTAGACACCATAAAACACTGTATAATCCTGATGGACTACAACAAAGCCCTTTTGTGAAGTTCATCGAGTGTTGAACTGGGCCTCTGTATCATAAACTGTAACACCCAAGAATAACAGTTCTTAACATTCTATTCGGTAGCACAAATTTTCATCTTTCTTTTCTTGAGAAGGAGGAGATACCTAGCTCACAAGTACACTTTCAAGACATACCTGTGGGTAGAAAGTGGCTTTAGTGCTGGATGAGCTACTTGAAGAGGCTCCAGTAACATGGTTTCTGTCATACAGTGGGGCACCACTGCTTCCTCCCATGAGACTCATGGAGCTAATCATGGACTTTCCACAAGAGATGCCTGTTTTGAAACAGACAGGAAAACAAGGTTAGACAAACCACAATTTGATTTACCAATGCAAAACATAAAACAAATCTACAGCTTTGCAAACCCGTGCAGTGATAATGGTTGTCACTTTAGGAAGAGTGTTTTATGTAAAAACTTCAGGATTACCATGAAAAACACTTTTTGTAAAGAAAACATCCCACCCTCAGACCACCTATTGTCTCACTGAAGCACTGAACTTTTCACAATCTACTCTCACCCTGATGAGAAAGTCGATTCAAACTTTTCACCCAAATTGTTAACTACAAAATTTTCCAATTAAACAAACTTAGGCATTTGCAAAAAAAAGTACCATACAATGCCCAAGAAAAACAAGCTGGAGTCCTTCAGAGTTTTCATTTCCATCTCAAGAAATTCAATTTCAAGTACATGAAAAACTGCAAAACCCAACTATTTTTATTGAAAATAATCCCAGCTAAAATTGAAAATCAGCAGAGACAAAAGGAAGGAAATCTGGATTACAGGAGAAGGGAAGAGAACATTCTGCGATCTGTTTTACTCCAATGTACACTTAATTCAGATAATTAATTTTCAGCTTCTTCCTATCAGACTATTCAGTGCTAATGGAAGAGTTTAGTTTGGGAACTTTTTAGAATTTTTCTCAGATGCAGGAAATATTTATTACAATCAGAGTCATCTATTTGTAACCATCATTCGTGACTATACATCTTTCTTGGAAATGCCATGCTATTAGGAACCTATGTGTTTTCTTTAGAAATAACATAAATAGTAATATTTTTAGCTGTTGTAACTTGTCACAGCAATATGGATTAAATAAACCCTCACGAATATGAATGAGAATCAGAATGACAGCTTGGTTTAGCACCAAAAACCACTGATACTTGCTTTTAGACAAAAACCACTGATACTTGCTTTAATTAAAAAAGCTTTATAGCGTGAAGTGCAATTTAAAACATCCTTGCAAAGATTTCACCTGCAATGATTTCATCCTCTAATTTTATTTCCTACCACAAAACCCTCTTGATAACCATAGTAACATAAGTTAAGCAGGAATAGCTGACCACACCACTGAAGTCCAAAAAAGGCTAAAACCTAAGTTGTATCTGGCTATCTTCAAAGCCATGGCCAGAAGAAAACAACAATTAGCACATCTCAAAAGCTTGTTTAATATGAAGAAGTGCCACATCTTTTCATTTGTATTTATCATCTATCTGATTTTCAGCTGACATGAAAAGCAGATTGCAGGCACTCTGAACTATGGATTTCTTGCCTGGCAGGTTTACAGGTGAACATTTACTTTCCAGCTTCCTGAAAAATATGAAGAGATATTTTTCCTTCTCATGGCTTTGTAGTTAAGAATTTGCTATTTCCTCTATGCAAAATATATTTTACATTTGTAAAATAATGAGGGACATCAATTTAAGTGCTTCTGGATTATTTTCTGAATGTCCTGAGCTTTTATTTATACTTCAAGTTCTCAACATGTCAGCATCATAGCTGCATGCACTTCTCCAAATGGATGCTTTCAATCCTTTGAAAGGTAGAGAAGCTTTACAGTTTTACAGATGTAGGACTGAGACAGAGAGAGAATAAATACTTTGTCCAAAAGCAAACAGCAAAGCTGTCTCAGAGATGGGCTAAACCAAAGGGGATGTTTTCATTACATGTCAGGCAATGAGCAGCCAGACTACAAAACCCCACCCAGACTCCTTGTGTTCTTCCACATTTGCTGTTGTAACTTCGGTGGGGGAGGTTTATCTCCTACTTTTTTGGTATTACAGTAAGCTAAACTGCTACAGTAAACTAAGCTGCTTCACTTCTTTACTCCTTTTCTTTCCACTGTAGATTAATTTACCCATCCTAAGCAGACAGAACACAACTGTATAAAGACCTCTGATGGACAGGACAAACAGAAGGACATCTGAGTACAAGACACAAAGAACAATTCCACAGATTTCACACTAGGACACTGAATGACACATGCATTCTTAGTTTCCAATATTGCATATCCAAAACCCATGAGCAGATCAACATCTAATTTCTGTTCTTTGAAAACTCCACAGCTAGCACTCTTAATGATCTGTAAAACTTCGAAATCCAGACAATGTAATGGTACTGGTTAAATGCAAGGTCCTTAGCATCCTTACCAGTAAAAGTGCCGTGCTGAGAACTTCCCGGAGCAATAAAATTAAGAGGGACATGAGGGGTGCCACTGACATACTCATGTGGAAAAGGACTGTTGGGCCCAGCATAGCGCTGACACACCACTCGCTGGCAAACAAAGTACATTCCTCCCATGACAAAAAGTGACAGTATTATACCAATGACAGGACCGATGGCACTACTGTGTGGCTGTGACTCATCTGAGGCTGGCTTTGATTTTTCTGGAAAGAGAGGAGAAAAAAAACAAAGGAGGTCAGTCATTAAACATGGAGCAGTATATATGCTGCTGTCCTGGAGCTCATGCAGCAAATCAGCTCAGAGTCATTCACACAGTGTCTTTAAAAGTATCTGCATCACACTCAGGCACATATTCTGACTCAATGCAAAAGACTTCATGTTTCCTTCCCCCCTCCATAAAGCAGTATGAGCAAAGTACTCTCCTTTTTGTCTAGCAACTAATCTTGTAACAGGATTACTTGTTATCTTGATATAACACAACCTATAAAGTTTCCTTTTCTTTCCCTTCCTCCAAAGACTATGAGTCAAAGATACAGGATGCTTCTTAAGTCCTTAGTCAGGAATCTGCTCTCTCAAAGCCATTTGGACTAGCAATAACATTTAAAAAAATTTGAAACTTTACCAGTAGGGAAGCTACCATATGTATTAAGCAGTGGATCTCTTCCTAGCTAATATAGCTCTTAAAACAGAATACTTTTCCTTCCTAAAATATGACTTGCTTTCAAAAAAACCCACCTTCCAAATTGTAAGGAAAACACAATCCAGAGTATCTCAAATACTTGTTATTCCCCCCCCATTATAGCCCAATGTTAAAAAATAAACAGTGCTGCAGTATTTGAGATGAGCTACACATCGTATCTCTCCCTGATTATGGGTAACACATTAAAAATTCTTGTCAGATAAACATCACACCTCTGTTTTTCACATATGCAATGTTCTTCAGGGAAAGTGTTTTTTTCCATGTGATTCCCACAAATGGATATATTCAAAAAATGAAAAAATAAACTTGTCCAAAGCCTAGCAATTTTACGTGCTCAGTTTAAGCTATAGATCCCCCTCACTTAATGAAATTGTAAGAGTAAAAGGGTTTATATAAGATTCAAGACTTCCCTTCACAAAATTTTTCTCCAGTGGTTCTGGTTTCCACTGCAGTGGAAGGGAATGAAAAACAACTGAAATTTGAGAAGGAATATAAGGGAAATACAAATAAACTCTTAACAGCTCAGCATCAAGAACTCATTGCTATCCTAAAATCTTTATCTCTTTTCACACTTATTAGTGCATGACAGCTTTTATGTCAGCTAGGGTCCTAACTTTCAAAAAGTCAGATTCGTTCAGCTGTGATACCAGAAAAAAACAAAGCCAAAATGAAAACATGTTCCCAAATAAGCTATTTTAAAACACACAAATCTCATTTTGGTTAAACCTAGCTTATTCTGAATACAAGATCCTTTTCTAGGAGGTAGCAATCATTTTTATTCCCTACTTGAGTTCTTTCCCTCAGTCAAATGGGAAACCACAGAATGCTCTGTTCCACAATGAGACTCCAGAAGAGACAATCTTGTGTCTACATAAAGACACATTTAAACCATTTAAGATCTAATTGAAGGACTGGACCCAAAGTGCAAACAGGAAACAGCTGCATTAAAACTGCAGCACAAAAGTTTGCCAAGGGCACAAAGAAACTAAAAAAAAAAGGAGGAAGTGACTTTGTATTATCCAGGGAATTAGGGTAACTGGGTGAAAGCTGAGAGGTAAATGGAAGATGTGGGAGAAGCAGGTTCAGTTTGAAATTTCCCAAACCTTTTGTCTCCATTCTTTTAGCCTTTTTTTTTCTATTCACCACTTGGGCTCTTTTCACCACTCTTATCCATGAAATATACTTTTCCTTGTAGTACCCACCATGAAGATGGAAGGAAAAACCAAGGTTACCCTGGACCAAACCTGGTGACTCCTCCTCTCATCTCAGCAGTGGCACAGCTTCTGACACATGGTGCTTCAAATCCCGACAAGACTCTAAGATCTCAAAACCTTCACAATCAGCTAAGGTTGGTCCTATAGGCAACATAAGTGCAGCATTTCTCTACACAAACCCTGTTCACAATGAACCACAGACAGATGTATTTGCTTTTACTCTAAAATGCTATGTTTCAAATATTTTGCTAAACCACTTGTGCGCTACTAAATGCTCCCTTTATCTCTCCTGTTACCTGAAAATTTCATGCATTAGTCACCCCAACAGTGCAAAAAGATGGAAACTGCAAGAGAGCCACAAGCAAGTGAATTTTACTGTCCACTTGGAACCGCAAAATAACAGACTGTCTAAGGACTATTACAGCAACTGTCATGAGTGTGTCTGTAACTTGCACATACCTACTGCCATGAGAATTCAAAGTTAACATTTTTTCCCAGAAAACTCAAGGTCTCTCCTTATATTCTTTTCCCACCTCCACTTTAAGAGACTGATTTGTGGTCTCTTGTGGACACTTGTTCATTGCATGCTAGTTCCTCCAAATAATTAACCTCTAGCTTGACCCTGTAATTGCAGTGGATAGGGCTGCACATCTTTAAAAGCCATCCCAAGCTTAGCAGCAGCTCTGCAGCTTCCAAGGTACTGAGCACAGTCAAATCAAGTTCCCCTAAGTACAGATCTAAAGACCCATCTAAAGAAGGTAGTGCTGATTCACTGGGCTTCCCTGAAAGAATATTACTCTGCAAAGACCATCTCTGCATAGAGATGTAGGACATTATGATTGAACACAACACTCGAATCTCAAGAAAAGACATCTCACCGCATATAAGCTCATCAGAACCATCAATACAATCTGGAAAGGAGTCACACTGTTGCTTCAGGAGGATGCACTGGCCACTTGCACATCGGAACTGATTGGGTAGACAAATTGCTGCACAGAAAGAGAGAAAAGATTAGTACTGGGAGCATTTCAGTGTCTTAAGAAAACAAAAGTAAGTGAGACATGAAGGTACAGAGCATTTTATATTACGATCGGGTAGGCACCAGAACACCTGCTTTGCTGCTGTGGGAAAATTGCAAGTCTGCATATCTCTGAATCTTCCTTCTTGTTCCTATACATCCTACTCAGTGGGGCTAAAATAAAATTCTGATCCCAATAATCCCTATCTTTATCAAATCAGTCCTGTTGAGGAAAAACTGAGATCGAATCAGCAAGAATGTCTTACAATAACTAACAAAGTGTAGCTGATAAACTGACATGTTAATAAAATGTAGTAACTTGACATATTATAAAACCTTATGCAGTCCATACTATCTTAAGTAGACCTGTATAAAACTTTGCTAAATAACTGCTGAATTTCTTATCTATATTCAGGAATCTATGTCTCAGCAAAAAGGATTTGTATCTATATATTTCAAGAACAGTTAGAATCCCAAATGAATGCTTATGTTAGAACCATGAGTTCAGGAAAACTAATCTTACTATCACAATCTGCTTCATCAGATTTATCTTGACAGTCAATTTCTCCATTACATCGCAAGTGTGCATCAATACACTGCCCCTTCTCACACTGGAACTGGGATGCAGAGCATATGGGGCAACTGTCTTCATCACTCTGGTCATCACACTCAGGAAATCCATCACACCGCCATGCCATTGGGATACAGTCAATCTCTCCAGTTGCACAGGTAAACTGGTCTGGGGAGCAAGTTGGAGGTTCTGTAGAAAAAGAAAACAAATCATATTTGTATATTCAAATTTATCCCTTACAACAAAGTGTGACATAAATTCAAATGAATACTCAATTTCTGATTGCACACCACATTCTAAATAATTCTAATCCCTGCAATTATATTAGCCTGGGCCAATTCTTCATCAAAAAACCTGACACACAAGGAATACACCTAAACCATATAATATCTACTTGCACAATATCTGTTTCTCTTTTTTCCTGTGGTTTCTCCACAAACAAATTCCTGAGTCTGATATGAATTGAAAAATACGAATGGATAAAAAAATATATGTAAAGGACTTTACACATTAAGCTAAGTCCTCTTGCTGGAAAGTCTCCGAGCAGCAGGTCAGTGGAAGTTAAGAGTAGTCTGAGGAGCAGATCTAATCTTATATTCTTTCACTACAAAGACAGAACACTGGAACTTATGCACAGCCAATTTTATGTTTGTTAGATCTAACAAAGCTGAGACTTCCTTCAAATTTGACTTTCCGTGGACCCCAAGATCCTGGTATCACTCCATTCCACATCCATATTGTTAAGCTTAAGGTGCAATCATGCACTGACAGCTTTAATCAGCAGCTACAACCCCATATAGAGATGCAACAATTATGCTGTAATAAGGCATTCATAGTTACTTTCTTCAGAATGTCAGAAGGTAAAGATAATGCAGGTCAAGAATCTATTGCAAAAAACGCTCCAGATTCTTATGTACAGCAAGTTAGCACACACTTTTTCACCATTAGTATCAATGAAAGAAACAGACAACGTATAAGTCATTCAGTTGTGTCTCAATAGCAACTGTTTATGGTGAAAATGAGAGGGACATCTCAAAATACCCCTGCTGCAAACAGACACACTTCCACTGCTTTCAAAAGTCGCTGGGTCCAAACCCTGTGATGTAACTGAAGCAGTTAACAGAGGCAGTCACTAGTCCCACAGCTGCTGTTGCCAACAATGCTCTAAGTAGATGCTTTACCACTTGGATTAACAAAGTACCACATCATACCCTCTCTGTGACAACAATATGAGCAAGATGGACATGTGCTCTGACACTGAATGGCAGCACTCCTCTGAAAACCCAACGAGCTTTTGTTAAGTTTCAGGGTCAAGAATGGACTTGACAAAGAACACACTATAAAGAAAGCTTCTTAGATGTAACCAATGGCAAGACTTTTGTATGAGTATTTTTACTTCTGAGGGTGGTGTTAAAAATGCTAGAATTATGCATTTACATGCAAGCAATTTTTAAAGTGCTGGTGTCCTTCCTTCATTAGGGAGAAACGTTCAAGAACAAGACTCAAGTATAAAGAGCTTGAAAAACAAAACGCAAGTAAAAATACAAACGTTCTTGGTTTTTGAAAAAAATTACAATTTTTTAAGTTTGTCATTTGGAGTAGCAATATAAGAACTACAAATATAGCCTGACGGCTGTAGGTAAAATAAAGATGCAGGATACACATATTAAGATAATTCTTGAATTACATTTTATATGAGTGTGCTGTTTAGGTAATTCAACAGAGAGATTACTACTTCTGCATGTAAAGCCACATTTAATGTTGCATTATGGTTGTACTTGGCAAGCACAAGCTTACATTTAAAAACATGACAAAAGTATTCATAAGAGTACATGGACAAATGTTCTCCAGCCAAAAAGCTAAGTTATTTTGAAACACTGGCTACTGGCTGTTACTAGGGCAGACAAGACAGGCTAAAAAGTTGTTGCAGGCTTAGTGAGTGATTAGAATAAAAAAAAACAGACACTGAAATGAATTTTTAGATTTATAGCTGAAGATACAAAGGGGTGGAATTTAAGAGTCTCTTGCTGGCCTTGTTGTGCAACAACACTACAGCAAGAAGTATAATTAGATTGATCTGCCCTGCCTCCCCTATGTAACCACCACTACTCCAAAACCACATGGTGTGTTGTGGTCATGGGAAAGAAAACAGTTTATCATGGAAATAACTGTCCCATGAGAGGTCAGAGTTCAGCCAGAAAATGAAATCCACAGCAAAATAAATACATGGAAAGAAGTCAAGAGGACCAACAGAGCCAAATGATTTAAGATTTAATGCCTCCCAAAAAGAAACAATGTTTTGTTTTGTTTTGAATCCCCCCTGCAAGTGTAATGTTAACAGTTTTCAAAAATCCTGAGGTTGTGAAATGGAAAGCTAGAGGAAATGTCTACCATGTGGAAAGAGGAGAGCTACCCTAATTAAAAAGAACTGCAATGGAGCCTACATTTTAGAACTAGTTAGTACAGTGTTTTGTGTTATGCGGCCAAATTAATTTGAAAGACTGAAGTATCATACTGTGGGAATCATATGCACAGTTTCTGCTGCTAGGTCATCATGGGTTGAGGCAACATCATCTTATAAGCACTTATTTAAAGTACAAACCTGTCACATCATACAATTATAAAAATCTCAGTAGAAGATAAAAGTATTTTAAGGTCAAACAAAAATATTGTGCTCACAATGAAAAGTCACATATTCCCAAAACCTGAAGCAGAAAACAGCTGGTAGGAGAATCGAAGGTAATTTAACAAGAGGCAACACAACACATATAGGAAAACCGCGTGTAAATTCACATTTTGGATAGGAATGCAAAAATCAACTCCCATATTTTTGATATAAACTGATTAGCAGCACTAAAATATAACTCACCTCCACATGTTAAGAGATTCTGTAGAAGCACAAGGTGCTCGGGGCATGAACATCTTGGAGTTCCATCTCCTTTGGCAATGCAGATGTGTGAACATCCACCATTGTCACGGGAGCATGGATGCACAGCTGGTGAAACACACAGAGAAGAATATTACATAGCATAAAAGAAATAATAACTATTCCTAGCTTGGGGAAAATCAAAAACCACTCAAAAATCACTTCTGTTTGAGTAACCAAGATTTTACTAGAAATTATTAGGAAGATAAATGCAGGATTTTTCAGTTGACTGCTCAAAAGCTGATCTACTACTTCATAAAGACTACATTTCTTCAACTCATAGTGATATGAGCAACCTGATCGAGTTGGAGATGTCCTTGCCCATTGCAGGGGGGTCAGAACTAGATGACCTTTACAAAGTCCCTTCCAACCCAAATCATTCTATGATTCTATGATATGGAGACCTCTAAAGGACTTCTGGAAAGAATTTGGGAGCTGAGGTGAAGAGAAATGAAAAGGCAGATTTGAGAAGGCTGCATTTACATCGTACCTAGACATTCCACCTGCATTTCTAGGGTGGGCATCAAGAATTAACATAAGTCACTGCAGAATGCAACTCCTAAACCCACCAGCAACTCTCCTTTAATATGCAATGCCTCAACTTCCCTGCAACTCAAAAAACTGCAATATAGGCACACATAGTTTATTTTTTTTAAAGACAGGAAGCTACACGGTTGTGTTCCCAATCAGTTACCCAGGAGCACTGAGCACATGAGAGCTCCAGATAGAATCATTTTAAATGAACATTAGGTGGATAAGAAACAGGCACAGAGAAGGGAGGTCACTGTCTGACAACCCCAGCCCAACAGAGTACGAAGAGACCCAGTCTCTTGCCTGCTTATTCAGGCTGACAGCTGAGCATCTGCTGGAGTAATCTGTGAGGTGATACCCTGTGTTATTTGTGATGATGCTGAACAATGCATTCTTTACTACTGCTAAGAATTTCCACGGGAAGAAACAGTATAGGTAACATAATTTCTCTGCTGAAGCTGTTTTGCATCTGTCCAGGCTTCTCAGCAACCTGCTTTCACCTACACTTATTAATTTAAAACAGTGTTTGATTCATGAGTTGCTTGCAGAAGAAGTGCATGCATATACACTTACATGTGCATGTGTATTTTTACTCCCCTGTTGCAACAGAAAATACCTACATAGAAGAGTTTTCAGCTGCAAAACAGGATTCCTTTCAGTGTGACTTAAAAGAAACAGTACTCTTTACCATTAAAAAAAACCCCAAACCAAAAATCCTCATTTTAAATGAACACATGGGGTAAAACTCTTTTTTAAAGAATATTGAGAATTAAAGAAAAAAATTCTTGCTTCATTCAGTAATACCTTTGAAATGTACAAAAATCATGAGAAATGGCACAGAAGAAGAAAAACTGGGTATTGCCAAAGAAAGAACATCTGAGTCATGATTAGCACATAGAATCTAAGACAGTTGAAATATTTACACTACCTTATTTGTAACAGCTTACCCACATATGCAAGTTCAGGTAATTTCAGCCATTACAGACAGTAATGTATGTGACACAGTGTTTGTTGTGAAATGGAATAATTTCCTCTGATAATTGAAGCACTATACACAAATGTACACTCCCTATATAAGACAACTCATCACAGGCAACAAAGTTGAAAGAGACCTCTTTCTCTCACATTTTGTTTGGGATTTTATATTCTCTCTTATATTCCTGTTAAGCGGGAGGAGCTGTAGGTTGTCACTTTGAGGAGTGACTACTTTAAGAGGTTTCTGTACTCTCCCTCAGACCACAGTAACTTGGACCACTAATCCAGAAAAAGAACATCCTGCATGCATGATCCCTTTCAGAAGGGAGCACCTAAAATGTTCCACCTCTGTTGGGAAATTCTACATCCACGGTACAATTCACTGTAGGAGCTTCCTTCCCATTCTCCCTCCCTCGCTGGAGGCTTTTTACATCATCCATTGTGCCGAGTCAAACCAGTCATACTTTACACAGGAGTCTGAAACCCCTGGAGAAAAGGCAAGTACAATCCTTTTGTCTCTTATAACAGGTTTTTCCAAGACTTATTACTTGGAACTTACAAAATTAACAACCATAATTATAAGTAGCTTTTAGACTGTAACTAAGTGCTACGATGTCACGTATTCTAGCTGTGCAGCAACACTTCTCTCAACAAGAACAAGGAACTTGTTTCTCCTTCTCTTCCAGGATCCCGACTGGACAAGATGAAAACACTCCATGGCTTACCAGAAGCCCACTAGGCAACATTATTACAGTATTCAGGGGGATGAGGATTTTGAGAGACAACGACCAAGACAGAGACACATCAAATACTGAAATAAACTCACAGAATTCTTCCATATCAAGCTCTTCCACAGCATGAATGCCTGTTAGGTGAGCAATCCGGCCTTGAATTCTAGTCCTTTTGTACCCATTCACTTTCTCCACTCTCTCAATCATTTGTTGCTGACGATCAATCCAATACAAGTGATTCCCCAGCACAGTGAGTCCCATGGGCTGAAGGATGTTGGAGTCCTCTAGGGTCACACGGTTAGCACCTAAGATCAACAAAAACAAAGGCTAGTTTTACACCAGTTGACTTTTAAGTAATTTCTTTAAAAAAAAAATATCACAAAACAACAACCCAACCAAACCCAAACCAAACCAAACCTTTCAAATAGTTAGCTATAAGGTCATTGCCTTCATTTGTCTATGCAGACTGAAGTTCTGCTTGTTCAGTCTCATCTGAGGTACATGCAACCAGCTGCCAAGTCATGAGGGCAAGCAGATACAACACAAAACACAGCTCATCCTTGCAAGGCTGTTCAGCCAGCCATGATCAGCCTCAAGCCGACGTGTTCTGTTACGTGCAACTGTGAGCCATCCCTAAAAGCTGATACAGACTCAACTCTTAGGCCAAAATTTTTACAATACATTTACACAGTGAGCAGTTCATTTTGTTGGAATCTACAACAAAGAGTGAAATACAACCAATTAGTTTCACTGCCATTACTCAAACAAAACACACCCCTCATGCAAAGCAAGAGCCTTGTCACAGGTTATCTGACAACCACAGACACATGATCACAAATCAAAAGCTCATATTCTACCAGCCACACTTCTTTCTTCACCTTCTCCTTTTTATTCAGTAACCAACCAGAAAACCCAAACTCTATCTCAGTATGCTCTTAAACAGGAACAATATAAAATGTTCAGGTTTTCTGCTTTACAGAAATATGTAAAAATATGCTCTAAGCCAATGTGTAAAAATCAGGTCAAGTAAAAATGCATTTATTACTGCTTTTTACGTTAATTATTTGTAGTCTTAAACTGCATGATACTCTACACTTACTGGCATTTAATTGTTTTTGTTATGCTTTTCTGGGGCGAACAAGAGATTCCAAATTATTCTATTAATTCACAGAAACTATTCTGACCCTATGTGTGCCTATATAATTGGATATATTTGATTTTAAAAATGAAAAATCAAAACAAAATCCTAAATTGGTGGTTCTTCTGCTCTCACATTTCATTTTGGAATTAAGACCTTATGTCTGCTTGCATTTAAAAGATGTAAGTTTTTAATATCTGCACAAAATGAGATTACAGAATCTAGATAGATAATAAAAATGCTATAAAAACTGGATTCAACTAATTTGCTGCATAAATTATCTAGAGCTCAGCCAAGCATGAGAATGTAACATTAACGGGTCCTGTTAGTTTTGCACATAAAATTACCACCTGCAAAGTAAGACATAGACCTGTTAGCAGGTCCAAAGGCAAGAACTGAGAGAGCTGGAGTTGTTCAGCTTGGAGAAGAAAAGGCTGTGGGGAGACCTCATAGTGGCCTTTCACAGTACTTAAAGGGTGCTTACAAAAAAAAAGAGGGAAACTGACTTTTTACATGGGCAGATAGTGATAGGACAAGGGCAATGATTTTAAACTAAAAGAGAAAAATTAGAAAAAAACATTGACTATTCTTCTGGTTTTTTTCAAGCTACCTTGATTTACTAAGCTGTAAACTCCAGAGAAAGAAAAACTGAAGAGTATGTAAACTTTTCAAGCCATAAGGGAAAAAAAAAAGGGCATAGGGGAGGTGATTTAGTGGTTCCATGACTGGCAACATCTATTTAAATCTGATCTTGCAAGAGTTGCTTTCAGAACATAAAAAAAGTCAAATGGCTCTCTTGGAGGGTGTCAATTATTACAGACATTTATTCCAATTATATCAAAGACGGGAGTCCACCAGCAATTACTGCCTGTGACTGCCTACCCAGAACTGGCAATAGTGGAGATGAAAGTTACCAGAGTCAGCATCAAAGCGGGAATGATGTCCTACTCATGCAAACACTTTGCTGCAAATGTTTAACCTCATACCACATACCTGACAGGTCACAGCTTTCAATGCGCTTCAGATCTGCATCCACCCAGAAAAGCTTTCCAAGTTTGTTGTCAACCACCAGCGCTACTGGTCGGATCAACCCAGTTGTAAAAAGCACTTCCCTCTCTGTGCCATCAAGGGCTGCACGCTCAATCTTGGGGGCTCGCTCCTGCATGTTGGTGAAGTACATGTACCTGAAAACAAAGACACCAACCTCTTGACTGAGAGCTTCAGAGAGAGGCAACCCACCTTTGTGCACAGGCTCTACGTTGTAAGTGGGAATGGTTTCACAGGTATGACTTGGGTGACTTTGCTCCCAGCTGCAAAGATCCAGATCTGTCAGCTGCAGAATCAAACATTTGCTAACTGACACATTGAGAAAGCCTGAAAGTAATAGAATTTGTCACCAGGCCATAAATTGCCTCAGCACTGCTGTGCTGGCAGCACTGCTCCTGCACGGAGGTGGGGGTTGTAGGAGACAAGCACAGACTTTCTGCAACTCTCCTTGGGTAAAGCTGTCCCCATTTCTGAATCAAAGTCCAGAAGACAAAAAAAAATTAATGTCCACCTCCTCTTCCTTCCGTGTCACCTTCCTTCTCAGCAAGTAGAAGTTGCTACCAAACCTGAGAGGAACAAAGGTCACAGAAGAACAACTGAGGATGGCATGTTCCTGATGTCTTAGTCCCATGAATTCTTTATATCTGGCTAAGTTGCAAACAAAAGCAGTCTCTGCCCTGAAAAAAAGGCTTGTGCATCCATATAATGAACTGAAAACTCTCTAAGGGAAAAGTTCACTATATTTTCAGTGGTGAATAACATGGGCAAACTCTCTAATGCAGTGGGCTACATTGCTGCATAGCCTTTCGTTATGGCACAAGGAGGGAAGGCAGCAGTCAGAACATGCAGCCAAGGGAGAGGTGAAGGGAAGGATTTCTGGGACCATAGCAGAAGTTCTTCAGTACACTGTTCACTCATTCAGCTCCCCCAGATAGTCAGAGTGTTTAGCATAGCCTCTCCTTCATTTTTATTCCTTTAATTTATAAATGGATTTAGCTTTAAATAATTTGAAAACCTGACTACAAAAGTTGAGGGTTTTAGAGATCAACAAACTCAAACTCCCATTTTAATGGAGAAAGCAGATAAGCTTTTATAAATACAAACTATATCCAAGTGACTTAGTCTCAATAAGATTAGAATCTTTCCTCTAATCCCCCTCTCCCCACAACAGCTTTTGAACTGTGCAGAGCACATTGGTATAAAATACCAGTCCTATAAATGCTCCAGATAAAGTCTGTAGGTACTGTCGTATCCACACAGTTGTGAAATATTGTCATTCAACATCTGCCAAGCACATGGTAAGCCATTTAGTAGTTAATTGGGATTTAAGCGCCTATCTTATTAAAGAGAATGGTAAAGGACCATGTCTGACACCTAAGAATGAAGTTACTAAGCACCAGTTACTAAGCACCAGAAGTGGAGATGGCATCTGCTGAATCTAACCAAAACTGCTTTGCAGCAAAACAAAATATTTTCTTCTTGTGGGAAATCACTCTAGTGCATCCTACCTGTTTCAGAAGTTTTTAAGATAACATCAAGGCAGAACTAACTATTAAAATGTATAGAACATGAGCACCTTAAGTGTTTGTTTAAATGTTAGAGTACTAGATTAGCAGGAATTAGTTGCATCATATGAGAAGTTCCTTCTTTTCCCCCCTGGAAACATTTGTTTTATGATGACCAAGTGCCAGACGCCCAGTTCATACAGACACAATGTAAACTCTCCTGTTTTCCCCATTAGGTGGCAGGGCTGTGTATTCACACAGAGAACATGATAAGGTGGTTTTACTTTGTTTTCCCCATCCAGGTTAGTTGCTCACACACGGCTGTGTGAACGCTGGAAAAGGAGACAAAAGGAAGAGAAAGCTGCATACCTTCAAAAGACAAAATCGGACAAGCGCCTACATCCTGAACAATTAAATATTCAGAAATTCTCCTTTTAAAAATACTTAGATGCAGCACAAGATTCACACACACAGAGCTGACATACATCCCAAGAGTGCTCTGTACATGGTACAGAAAGAAATCTCACCCTCGCTCTGCATTCACTACAATGGCTCTGGGCCTGTCGTGGTCCCCTCGCAGCACCATCCCGATCGACTCGCCGTTCAGCCTGTGGACATTGACTGAATTTGTGGCCTCACAAGTCCAGTACAAGGTATGGCTGTATATATCGATGCTGAGGTCATGTGGCTGCTTCTCTGGGTTCTGACTTTGGTTTGGAGTACTCATCACAGTGAAAGGCTGCAAGACAACACATGGGGAACAATTTCCTGTAATTATTCTGATTTTTGATTGAAGAACACTGACTGCACAGAAAGCATGGCTTACCAACCTGATGGTTCAGAAACACCTAAAACCAACCAAAAGGAAACAAATATAAGGAGTGAAATAATGCTTAATAAAAAAGGGTTTGATTCAAACTGTGGATCACAGGGAAAACATCTGGACAAAATCCGTAAGATTACGCAAAACTCCCCACAAGGTGGTTGTGGGGACTTCTGTTAAGTATTATTTATTACCAGGAGATAGATGAATGATAAAATCATAACATGTTAAGGGGTTGGAATGGACCTTAAAGATCATCTAGTCACAACCCCCAATAAGCACATAAACCATTAGTGAATGTTTATGCATGGAACAAGCTTGAATGAACCAATGCAAGAAACCAGGGAAGCTTCTGGACAGATCTGCACTGTTATACAGTCAGTTAACTAATCTCTATCTCTTGCCAAAGCTTCCTTCCTTCATTATTTGTAGTGTAGTAGATACTTATTTTCTTCAAGTCCCTCTTCTCTTAAAACCTAAAATCTTTTAACAAAACTTGGTTCTGTTTGCTTACATGTTAAATGGCTACACTTCTGCCTCACCCTCTGCTAACAACATTACCTGCTTTCACTCTCATGTCTTCAGGCTAGAGCTTACAAAACTTGACATTATTGCAAAGTTTCTGGAGTCATTACCCTCAAACCCTTCCAATCTAACTCACGTACAATTCACTATACTTTTCAACACAGCGTTCAACTGTGAATACTAACATAGACTTCAATACTTTATTTCTTTGAAGAGCACCAGAGCATAGAGAAAAATTCCTGAAGGGAAAAAATGTCTCTGTTTAACATCGCGCAGGCTCCACTAGCATGTAGCCAATCCCAGTGCCATGGGGATAGTGATACCGGCGGCAGGACTCCCAGCATCAAAGTAGTCTTCAAAGATGACTGCCTCTGCTGACATAATATTGGTGAGGGGACAGTGGTGGTTTCCTTAAGTGTCTTAATGCGGTGTTCCCAATCCAAACACAAAAAGAGTACCAGAAAGAGTTCATATGGACCAAGAAAGCTAAAGACACCATTCCGTGCTCAGCTTAAGTCAAATGAAGCACCCAACACAGCATCACTTGTGAAAAGTTATATTTCCACAATTTCATTTTAAGCATAGTGATATACAGGTTTTTTTATTTTTACATAAAGCTTTTGTACTGACAGTGTGCCTAGCAATAAAAAGAAATAATTATTTTCCTGAAACCGAAGGCAACATTAACCAGGTATGAAATTTATATGCACGATCTGCAAACAGCACAATGTTAGTAAACTAAGTAAATACATTTAGTGAGGATTCAAAAGTCAAATTTTTCAGGGGATATCTGTATCTTCAAAGCTATGTGGCCAAGGTAAAAGAAACCACAAAGGAAATAAATCTCCACTGCTATTTGAACCTAGAATTACCAAAGAGAAGCTACACTAGAAAAACGAGCATCTGGCATAAAAAAAGCAAGAGCAAAACTTCAAAATTCATCCAGAACCCAGCTGCTCATCTCAACATATTTACTCCTGATCTTAAAAGAAATGGCCAAAAAACAAAGCTGTCATCTCTACCTTTAAAGGAAACTGTAAACCCTCTGAGTTGCTAGAGGCATGAAGAGACCAGAGCATTTCTTTCGATATCATGTCATACGGTTTAGATACAACTGCCCAAGAAATAGGAAAAGATAACTTGCCCATTCTCCACTTTGTTTTATATTCTTATTCAGACGATAATTTTCAAAGAATCTGTTACCTTGACCTGGAAATTATATTATGTTAACACATAACACTGCCTGGAAGAACACTGCACTCCTTACCACTGTTGTGTGAATATCGAGTGCAAAAAAGTAATGTCCCCAACACTTTAAAACCACTAAGTATGTGGATAAGCCATGCACATATATCTGGCACAGCAATCAATTCATCATTACCTCAGGGTTTAACTACAGCTTGGATAGCTGAGGATTTTCATTCTCAAAGAGCTTTACAATGATGACAACATTATCTCAGAACTGGCATCCACATTATTGATTTTACAATACAGTTTATATGTCCCAAGTATAAACAACGAGTCTGCCCTACTTGAGTGCCCATCCTTAACTAAAGATTGCAATTCAAGGCATATAATTTCTATATATAATGTACTCTATTCTATTCCACTTCTTCATGTATAAATTGAAATCACAATCCTAAAATAGAATATAAATGAATAAATGTTGACAAGAGTTTAAAATGATGATCCCTTGGTGCAGAAAACAGAAGGGGAAGGTCAAGCATGAGGCAAAAAGCACACAAAAAGACCAACTCAAAATTATATACAAGATGTAAACTTGCCTGAGTGCCATCATCTTTGGCTCTTTTTATAATATTCTGACGTCCATCCACCCAATAGATCAATTTATCTAAGGGATCATAATCAATAGCCTTGACGTTCCTCAGACCATGCATAGGTAGGATGATATCTGGACTTTGCTGATCATCTGGTATCATCCGGCTGATGGCAGATTTCTGGCTAAATAACAGGAAACTGGCAGGGGCTGAAACAAGCCAAAACAGAATGCATAAGAAAATGCAAGTCACAAAAATATATCCCCACAGAAGACAAAGAATATTTAGAACAAAATCCCAGAGAGACACTTCTATTTACAATGAAAATTAAGATAACTCATAAACCTGGACATTTTTGCTATTAAGTTGAAAATGTTTCTTTGTGTACTTCCAGAAGGTAAATATGCACATCCTCAACCAGAAAGTATTTCCTTTTCATATTATAAAGTAACTGTGTTCCCCATGTGGAATTTAAGTAACACCAGTGACTGTGGGCAATACAGCGCACGGGTCCAAGCCATAAGCAGCCAGTTTCTCCAGGAGAATGCTGTGGGACACAGTGCCAAAGGCTTTACTAAAATCCAGGTAGACAACATCCACAGCCTTTCCCTAATCCACTGAGTGGGTCACTTTGCTATAGAAAGAGACCAGGTTAGTCTGCAGGACCTGCCTTCCAAAAAGTCACCCAGTTAAAATTTCCTTATATGCTACTTTGCAGGAGGCCCAAAGCTTCGTTGGTTTATTTTTTTAAAATCAACAGTCCATTTCCTATTAATCTGCTATTTTTACTAGAAATTTAAATTCGTATTGGACAACCAGTCAACCAGCAGGCTTGTAATATCACACGGAGGGAGAAAACAAACTTATATGAATTTCAACTGCACCTGCCTGTTGTGCAGACTACTTAGGAGTTTTACTGCATGTTATTTTTGCTGACTTTACTGAACACTTAGGAGAAAAAGACATTTTTTGTTGATAATTTCTCTTCCACACACCTACACGCTTAGGTAAGGAGTGGGAAAGCTTCAATCACACAGCTGAATCACCTAGAAAGCACTTCTGGTAAAACAAGAAAGACCAGACTTGACAGCGCTGTCAGTTCTAAGATCTAAAATACATATCTTCATCCTAGCTCACATCACAAAAATGGCTATAAAATTCCATACTCTATCCTCACACTTAAAGATCACTTCTAAAGTCAGAACCTTTGAAATGGACTTGTGATCCCATCCCGTTAAACACTTGGGAGCCAAAAGCACTGCAGAACGTAGTAGCAAAGAAAAAGGCTTACAACTACAGTTCCTGCTGTTGGGATCCAAGGTATAATGAGCAGCACAGCCACATCTAAATCCATTTGGTATGGCAAGGCACAAATGACCACAGTGGCCATTATTTTGCACACAATCATTCAAGCCATCCTGACGTGAAGAATGGAAGACCAATATATCCATCACAAAATCCAGATGGCCCTGAATAAGTGTCCTGTTCTTCCCACTGGTCTTGTCTGCTCTTTCTATGCTGTGAAGGTTCCAGTCTGTCCAGTAGATGTAGTCACTGTATTGGGTCAATCCAAATGGATGAGGTAGATCATCTGCTATGATTTCTCGTTCTTGTCCTGCAAAAAGAAGGATAATCAACTAAAGGACAATTCCCATGATATAAAATGAAGAATGTGACTGGCATTGAGAAAAATTGTTTTCTTCTTTTTAAAATAAAACATCATTTCCCAAATCAGCATCATGAGATTCTTTATCAAGCAGTATCTGCTCAAGAGACAATGTAAACAGTTTCATTCAAAAACCTTATCCTGATACCCTCCTGCCTACAGAACAATTTTAAACTCTGTCAGTGTATTGTAATTAAAACAAATACTACTTTACATGTCTCATGCTTATTGTCCCAAATGGACATTGGAAAACACATTCAAGAATACCATCAGCTCCAATAATCACTTAGGCCAATAAATTATTATGCATGAAAGCAACAAAACTTGAGATTCACAGTGAAACAGCTACGAGAAATTATGGTGTTTCACTCAAGAAACAAATCTTTCACGGTGCAATTTAACATACAGCTATCCCGAGACTTTAGGAAACCATTTGTTTAGCAGAAATCTCAATACTCCCATACTCAGTGGTTCAGTTCACAACATTCATAACAGATTTAACACCTTCTAGAGCATAGCCACTGCCAGAGACACATTACTGTGTAAACTCTTACTGTAAACTGCCTTCCTAAACATTTTCAAGCATAAACCTCTGCGAATCTCTGACATCAAATGAAGATGTAGACTTTATCAGCATCATCTCCTCTTGTCTCAAACGCCCAATGCTAGATTCTACAGAATACCTCATTTTTCTTCCTCTGCTCTACTTTCCCTTTGACTAAGACTTGAGAAAGAATAAAAAACCCATAAACCAGAATATGAATCCATTTCCCTGTAAACCACCAGAACTAAATATAGAGGCAACCTCCCCATGTAACTTTTAGGAATCTGAATTCTCCGTGTTACGGGTACAGATACCCTGCACACTCTCAGATACTTCTTAGAGCAATTCTGGTCCACAGTAATAAATTTAGGGGAAAGACTCTTCTGAAGGAAGGAGGTAGCTGCATAATTCAATTTTCATAGTCAGTAGAAGGAGGAAAATCTCCCCAAAGAGTGATTGTTCTCCTGCTGGGTAATGTTTATAATGCCCAAGATTAAGCTGGAAGAACATTCATTCATCCACTTAGGGGTGCTTTATTCATCTCTGGTGGGGTAGATGTTTCTATCAGCAACACTCATTTAGATCTATCCTGGCAAGGACATTGGCACTGCATACCAAAGGCCAAATCTAATAACATCATCTTAACAGATGAGCTCACTTGCTAGAAGTCTACCTGCGTCTTTATAACCTGCTAACTAAAAAGACATTGAACAACATGATAAAACTGAATAGGCACAAGTCTATGGGGACTGATTAGATGCATTCCAGTGTCCTGTGGCAACTGGCTGATATGGTTGGCAAGCCACTCTCCAGGAAAAAGGAAAAGCCATGAAGCTGACAGTGACTGGAAAAACGGAAACATCACTCCTATTTTTTAAACAGATAAAAAGGAAGACCCAAGGAACTACAGACAGGTGAGCCTCACACACAGATTTAATATCAGTTATATTGTTCAAATTTCATATTATTCAATTGCTTTACTACTGTCAGTGCATATTTCTGTACTGGCTGGTGTACTGTAACACTAGATTACCGAGCATATTTGATGACTCAATCATGCTTGTGTCCAAGTCAGTCCAATAGAGCCTTTGGTCCACATAATCAATAGTGAGGTCATTGGCACGACCCACTTTGTCCACCAAAGTGATGCTGTTTGTTCCGTCCATAAACGCTCGAACAATCCTTGGTTTTCCTCCCCACTCAGTCCAGTACATGTATCTGCAATGAGAAATGGAACAAAAAGAACATATCAGCTAAGTATGATTGGGTTTAGCTGCATGCTTTGACTTTTCTAAATTTTTTCTTCGGCTCTTAAAAGAAACCCCACAACCCATGTGATTATGTGCAGTATCATAATATTCCTTTTTTAGAGAAAGGCAGAATAATATTTTTGACAATTATTAATTTTTCATTGTAACCCATGGGATTGTGGAATGTTTATTGTCTTTCCAAAGACTCTGAAGAAATGGAGCTGTATAAGCTGCCAAATAACTTGCCACATACAAGAATATGCACACAAAGCTTTGAAAAACAACACCGTCCCTTACCCTTTGGTAGGATCAAGAGCCAGAGACCTCGGGTTGTCCAAGTCCTTCCACACAAGGACCTGCCTATACTGTCCATCCAGGCGGGCTACTTCAATGCGATTGGTCCCAGTATCTGCCCAGTAGAGGTTCTTCCCCATCCAGTCTACAGCCATTCCCTCAGGATAATCTAGCCCAAACTCAATCACATGTTCAACAGAGCTCCCATTCATGAAAGCTCGGCTTATGGTCTGAAAAACAATCGTGTAAAAATATTACAGCATTTACAGATACCCAATTGCAATAAAAAGGAATAACGATTACGAAGTTTAGTGTACAAAAAGAAATTAGTAAAAAAAATCAGCCATTTTACATTTTAAAAAATTAATTTACATAGTCAAAAAAGATACAGAAATTCTCAGGATAAAAACATCTGAATTTTCAGAAAGCTACTGGTTTCTCATGACCAGACCAAGACATTTTAAAAGGGTATGATTTTCAGAAAGCAGTATGTAGCTGCAGATTCTTCCTTGACCCTTCTCCCTCTCTTCCATTTGCACACAAGAAGCTGTTTTTAAAATTATTTAATTCACTGTAATGTTTTACGTCTTAGAAACACATCTCAGTTTGGAGACATCTAAATTCAGTTGTTTCTCATAACCAGTCACCTGGAGCACATTTCCTGATGCCATCTACATTTTAGTTATGCACACTCATCAAAACAAGTCATAGGGCAAGGACTGCACACATATAAATAAGTCCCGCCGAACAAGGAGCACTGAAACAACAGCCAGGGAAATGGTAACTTGCAGGATTAATTATCCACCTGTGTTATCAACACTGAGCAATTGTTCTACATGCCTGCCAACAATTCAGCTATTGATTTCTTAATAATTTGATAAACTAATGTATAAGGGTAAGAGGCATTTTATATTTTTAAAGGTAAATGTCAAAACCAGAAATCATGTAGTATAGTTTTTGAAAATGCATCCTCATATAACCAGAGGCTGGAGGAGATCAGGGAAGTGGTGGTCACCAAAGGAAAGGGAGATGACTATGGGTTCTGAAGTTATAATACCTGCTGCTAAGCAGTAGGATGTGGGGGACGAGAGGGAATGAGAACCCAGAGGTGCTGAAACAGACCTGATATGTGAAAATACAGTATGCTAGATAATTCAGGGCGCTAAAAACAAGTAAAATGTTTCCCAGTTCTGCACAGTGTGAGACTGGGATCTACACACTTATGCAGGTGAAGTAATGTGTTTTCCACTACAAATGGTTAAGATGACCATAACTCCTGTTCTCCATGTCCTTATGTGAGATTTATTTAGTAACTGTGTCTGCACTACACTAATTTATTACACTGGCACTCTTCCCAAAAGAAAGATACCACAGCAAAACCGGCACTGTTACCACTGAAGCACGGCCCTCATTAGACCTCACAAGGAGGCTATGGAAACTGCACAAGCCCTTCAGGCTTTAAAACTGACCTTTTCCATATTATGGCTTGGGCACATTGGCAAGGAAACTTTGATTGCTCTTGGAAAACCTATTAAGAGGCTAAATAGAAGAATTTAGTTATAGTAAAGTGAATCTGTAATTTTCTACCATTACTTAATTCACTTTAGAAAGCAAAGTAACACTGATGAAGAGCACAACACACTTTAGCACGCACGTGGATGTGAACCAAACATCACAGGAAGTGTCAAACTTTTGGGGAACAGACTGAGATTGAACTAGGGGCAGGCAGGGCCTTAACATAGAGTGGAGGACACTGGACAAGTTCCCTGGCCTTTTCTATGCCAAGCTGGAGCCACAGACTAACAGCAACCAATCCAAAGTTCACTTGCCAAATGTTAATATTGAGTACAATTGTCTTTCAAGTCAAAACTGGAAGAGGACAGAAAGCTCAGGGGGCTGCCAAGTTCAAATTACTCTACTGTGTGACATGAAAACAGCTTTTCTAGGTTGCAACACATCCAGCATCCAAGACTTAGGCATTCGGTACAACCAGACGCCACTTTGGATTTTTATTTGAAGCGGGAAGATGCCTGTCATCCTACTGTGCATTCAGCAATGCAACTGTCTTCATCTCCAAGGGTCTCCTTGGATGCAATTCAATGACAACACTAGCAACTGCAGGATAGATCATGTAACAGAGACCTTTGTTAGATCAAAGTAACTGCTCTGTGGCTTTATACTCAAGGAATTCACATGTCAGTAATACCTTCAAACTAACATCAGTCCAATAGATTCTGTTATCAGAGACATCAAAATCCAGAGCAGATGCTTCCTTGACTCCAGTAAGAGGAATAGCAACATCATTATTATTGGTTTCAAGAGAAATCCTATGAATTGCTGCTCTGCTTGTGAAAACTAAGAAGGCTTCAGGAATGATGCAAGTCTTCATGTCACTCAACAGCTCAAGGCCAATGGGACAGGCACACCTGGTCTCCTGGGGTGTAAAGAAACACAGATGGCTGCAGCCTCCATTGTTCTCTGCACATGAATTAGTTCCTTAAAAAACAAAACAAAACAAAAACATATATTAGTGCATTAAATTAGTTCCTTAAAACAAAAAAACCAACCAAACCAGATACAAATGCATTGTGAAGGTGGAGGGGAAAGAGAAGCATGGGAGGGTGAGCAGCAACACTATAATTTTTCAAAGTAAGTTAAGCCTCTGGGTTGTCAACAGGGAATTCTAAAAAAAAAAAGCACTCCAAATGGATTCTTTCCTTCTACCCAGGACTAACGAAGCTGGACCTATCCCTCCTATTGTAAAAATACCAGCTACAAACAGAACTTTCTTGTCTCCCCAAAGATTAAATTCAGTCACTGAAGGCAGATAATTAGCTGGTTATTTTTGGCCAAGTACTCCATCTTTGTATCTCTTTGAAACCATCAGTTTTCAAAAACGTTCAGTGATACAAAAGGGTGAGAAAGGAGCTGGATAACTGCAGTACTTTCCCAGATGTTCAATTTAAAGCTGAGAAGATACATTAGCAGAAGCAGTTCCAACAAGATCACCACAATCTCACACTTATTTTTTTGTGTGATGGGGAGGGAATGTGGAGGAGAAAGTAAGGACCAACAGATAAATGACTGCCTTTCTCCATCTGCTGGAATCAAGGATTTAGGTATTTAAAGACTGCTACCACACAAAAAAGATCTCCAAGATCAGTCTCAACCAGGTTTCTTTTCATTTTCCCTTTTCAGGGCATACATATTTCAGTCCAATGGCATAACTTGCAGCTTGAGGACTTCATTATTCTTCAAGTACAGTTTCCTGAAAAGCTAGAAATCCATGTACTGTCAGGGTGTAATTTGACAACCTACTTTATGTGATTCCACTGTGACTATTCTCAGTAGTTTTAACAGCTGACCAATGAATCTGTTTACTGCTATGCCCAGACTCCAGTGTTCCACGCAGTAGAAAAATCTGTGATGAACACGCATCTCTCATTAGTTACTGAAGCCAGGAGGTCCTGTGACATACTCGCTGCAGAGGACCTAAAACACTGGCTGCACCTTCAGCAGATGCAGTGGAAGAACAAGGAGATCCAGCTGCTGATCCCATGCTAAAGGCTAGGTTTAATTGTTAAAATTTAGGTACAATTGAGGCATTAGAGTTAATATATAAGTGTCACATGCTTTGGGGCAACATTGTTATGGTGACTGACTCTGCCTGTACTGCCCAACATAGCGAAAAGCATTCTGCTGACTCAACATCACTGGGACTTTGCACTGGAAGAAAAGAGCAACAGAAAATGAAGCATTTCTGTGAGAATAATGATTCCTATAGCGTAGACCCAGGGATAAAATAAAATTCTCACAAAAATACAAAGAGTGTAGTGGAAGCTGTGGAAGACTTATGTCCACTAAAAACTGGAAGCCCACACTTCTTTTGCAATACTGTATTTTCCCAACTTGACAAATAATAGGTGTGATTTTCCTTTAAAATTATTCAAATCAGACCACAGTTATTCTCATTACAAGTGATCAACAGCTGCTTTATGAAAGCAAGTTCACCTAGAAGCTCCTAGAGACCCATCCTATATTGCTCATGCTTACCAAACACTTTGGTAACACTTGTTGCTTTAAGGCCCATTAAATCTGGCAGCTGATCAATAATGATATCTCTGCTGGCCTTTATCTTGTGAACTCTTTCAATGCTTCGTCTCTGCCAGTCAGTCCAGTAGATGTAATCTCCAAGCAGTGTGAACCCAAATATATGTGGAAGCTTATCTTCTAGAAGGGTTTTCCTCATTGTTCCATCAACATTTATGACCTGTGGAATGCCCAAGAAAAAAGGAAAAAATAATCTTCTCTAATGTGGGTACAATTAAAATGGCAATATCAATCATATTTTGAACAACTGTTTTTATGCAAAAACCTCCTGAAATTCCCAGCATGCTCCTTTCAAAAGAACATACCTCTAAGTTTGTTGAAAGTGAAATATATTGAAATGATGTGACTGAAAGTGGCTTCTGCCATGCCTTCTCCATTGAAAAAAATCTAAGCAACTTGTATTTAACTTGCATCAGTTCAAACCTGCAAAGACCACTGCAGAGGGAGTATTTTTTGGGGATGAGAGTGAGATTCAGGGGATTTTTCAACATCACTCATGTCTTGGTCTCACTACTGAACTCTCTCCCCAGAAACAAGGGATTGCTGCAGTGACCTTCAGCCCTCAATCACAGGGAATACAGGCCATCAGAATTTTTTCATAGAACAACAAGGACATGTAAAATATTTACTTTCTGAAATTTTGGGTATTTTATACCATAAAAAATTATGTTTTTTTCACTCTTAAGATAAGCAACATCTATAAAATGTGGAATAAGTATTGCCTTATATAAATTTGTATTTGTAAAGCTGCAAAGAAGACAAAATAGTATTGGAGATGGGATAAGCTCCACAAATATATATATACACACACACTTATATGTATGTGTGTGTGTGTCTGTGCATATATATATGCTACTGGTTAATTATTTCATAACCAATTACTACAATGATCTTGTGCTACCCCACTTTGCTTAGGAAAAGGAAAGACATTCATATAGTCTGACCCTGATCAATAATCAGATCAATAATCACTGGGCAAGACAGGAAATTAAAATGCTGACATGCCACACACCTAAAGTCACCTCCACCTGCTATACAAACTGCAATCACCTTTTCAATCATCTAGACATCTCCTACCCACAGCAAGGAGTGTGTATTTATAAGATCAAGGTAAAATATTTATCTGACAAACCCTGAGATTTCTCTCCACCCCACTGCAATTGGTAGCTGCAATTTATCTACATTATTTTTAAGGTGCTGCTTGAAAATTTATACCATGAGTGGCATCAAGTTTATTATCACAGTAAAACCAAAACAAAACCCCAAAACTTAAGACAATTTATTCTGCAGTGTGATCAGGTCAAATCTCCATTTGTTGCTAGAAACTACTTACAGATGGAAAACTGCTCTGCTCTAATTTAAGCTACCCTGATCTGTGATTGAGATTTTAAATAGTCTCCCCTTTACTATTATTTGGAAATTGTTTATTCAGACTCATACTAAACCTGTACCTTGTAGGTGATTAAGCTGCCTTCATTGTGCAGTGCTTCTATTGTCCTGTGCTTCAAGGCCTATGATCATTTGAACAGTGTATTCCCCAACTTTTAAATTACTAACTGCTTGAGCAATATTTATTTCTTATTATAAATATCTATAACTTAAATGCAATGTAAGATTAAACCATTAAATACCTAAATGATGTGGGCAATCAAAATCAACCATCATTTGTACCACAACTTTAATAGAGTTGTAAGGCTCTGTTCATACACCATAAACAGCAGAAGCACCTACAATTTATTTTTTCAACATGACCAGCGACAATTACATCTTTCTAAACCAGCATGTGAATTTCAGTATGTTTACACACAGACGGTAGATATCAAAATAAACTTAAAAACTGAATCTCCACTTTGAAACCTTGTAATACTTTTCAAATTTGTGAAAACAACATGCATTTCTTCTGTGACACAGTTATATGGGCACAACATTTCCCTTTTAGAGAAACACAAATAAGATATGAATATTATCTGAAAAAAATTGTTAAATGCTAGCATACTGTATCAGGTTTGCACGGCAAAGTTTTTGGGGAGGAGGGAGGCTACAGGGGCGGCTTCTGTGAGAAGCTGCTGGAAGCTTCCCCCATGTCCAACAGAGACAATGCCAGTTGGGTCCAAGACGGACCCACCACTGGCCAAGACTGAGCCCATCAGTGATGATGGTAGTGCCTCCAGGATAATATAGTAAAGAAGGGAGAAAAAAACAACTGCCAGGCAGCATCAGCTGGAGGGAGGGATGAGAATACGCGAGAGCAAAAGCCCTGCAGACACCAAGGTTGCAGAAGGAGAGGTAGGAGGTGCTTCAGGCACCGGAGCAGAGGTTCCCCTGCAGCCTGTGGTTCAGACTGTGGTGAGGCAGCTGTGCCCCTGCAGGCCATGGAGGACCATGGGAGTGCAGAGATTCACCTGCAGCCTGTGGAGGACCCCACATTGGATCAGGTGGATGCCCGAAGGAGGCTGTGATCCCATGGGAAGCCCATGCTGCAGCAGGTATCTGGCAGGATCTATGGAGAGAGGAGCCCACTCTGCAGCAGGTTTGCTGGCAGGACTTGTGACCCCACAGGGGATCTACACTGGAGCAGCGTGTTCCTGAGGGACTATACTCCGTGGGAGGGACCTGAACAGAGCAGTTCATGAAGAACTGCAGCCCCTGGGAAGCACTCACGTTGGAGAGGTTCATGGAGGACTGTTTCACGTGGAAGGGACCCCATGCTGGAACAGGGGGAGAGTATGAGGAGTCCTCCCTTTGAAGAGGAAGGAGCAGCAGAGACAATGTGTGATGAACTGACCATAGCCCTCATTCCCTGTCCCGCTGTGCCACTGGAGGGAGGAGACAAAACTGGGAGTGAAGTCAAGCCCAGGAAGAAGGGAGGAGTGGGGGAAAGATGTTTTAAGATTCTTTTTTATTTACCATTACCCTACTTTGATTTGATTAGCCATAAATTAAAGTAATTTCCCCAAGTTGAGTCTGTTTTGCCCATGATGGTAAGTGCTGAGTGATCTCTCCCTGTCCTTATCTTGATCCACGAGCCTTTCATTGTATTTTCTCTCCCCTGTCCATCTGGGGAGCAGAATGATAGAGAGGGCATTTGGTGAGGACCTGGCATTGCCAAGGTCAACCCACTACACACACATGGGACATGCACTGGATTTTCCAGCTAAACAGCAGAGGTGAGTAGTCAACTACTGCATCCTGTATCTAGCTGTGCTGTACACAAACATCATCACTACAACACAATCTTGCCACACAGAGTGCAGATGTCTTCAACTGGAGAGGAAAAGAACTTCATGAGACCTTTAAGACTATCTAGCAGCCTATGTGAATTTGAACACAGGCTACAAGGTAAACCTCTGGATTCCTTCCAGACAAAAAGCCTCCTGCTGGAGATAATTAAAAATAACACGAGCATTCCTGCAAACTAAGTTTCAGGGGAGTTTTATCAATTGTAAGTTCATCAACTTACAATTCTTCTAATACTTAATGGAGTAGCAGAGACTGAAGATTAAGATCTTTTCATTTTGTTAAGCTAAATAGAGTACATTAAAAAAAGTCTATATTTGTGGTTAAAAGCCAAATGGCTCTGCAATTATGTCATTACATCATGTCCAGGCAAACCCCAAATGCTCACTTACTTAGAAAACTATCAATCCCACAGGCAATCCAGCAGGTTCAAAAGTTCGTCATGCATACTCAGGTGCTGGAGCCAAACTGGTGCCACACTAAGTAAACAAGACACCACTTCCCCTACAGCACTGCATCAGCAGGATGATGATCAATCTACCACATTTCCATCTACTTTTACAGATATGGACAGCCAAAGTATAATTCAAATACTAGAGCTGCTGACTAAAATATACCAGCAAAGGTTGGATCCAAGGATGCAGAAACACATTATTATAAATCCATGCACATCTGTGGATGTTGCAGATGATATCAAGCTGTTGAACTCCAGGAACCTCATGAGGTTCAACAAGGCCAAGTGCAAGGTGCTGAGGATGAATGGATTGAAAAGCCCTGCCAAGAAGGACTTGGGGGTGCTGGTGGATGAAAAAATCTACATGAGCTGGCAATGTGCACTTGCTGCTCTGAAAGCCAATCATGTCCTGGGCTGCATAAGAAACAGTGTGGCCGGCAGTCGAGCGAGGGGATCCTACCCCTCTACTCTGCTCTGTTTAGACCCCACTTGGAGTATGGCATCCAGCTCTGGGGTCCCAACACAAGAAAGACTGAGAGCTGCTTCAGAGGAGGGCCACAAAAATGATCAGGGGGCTGGAAGACTTCTACTATGAAGAAAGGCTAAGAGCTGTGGTTGTTCAGCCCAAAGAAGAGGAGGCTCTGGTGAGACCTTACTGTGGCACTCCCAAATTATATGGCTGTTTAACATAGTGGGAATGGAGGTCCAAAATGTGCAATCAGACAGCAATAAAATGCTTAATAGCTTACCTTTTGGCTAAGAAAATGATGGAGTGTTTGCCCTCTCACTATGGGCAGAACACCAATGAACCCAAGCAGGCTTCCCCTGGATGCAGAAAGGGCAGCTCTGACTTGGAGGATTTTTCTGTGCTGCGGCCAATCGAGCCCTCTTAGTGGCAGTTAATGCAGGGCAACAAGCAGGAAGTGATAACTAACCATGAGACTATCTTTTAGTAGCAGCCAGAGCAAAGCTTGAACAGTGAGCTGTCACATGCACTTCAGTATAGGCACATGTACATAGCATTTACTTCAAATTTTGCTGCCACCCATCTTCCCAGAGATCCAGCTCTACTCTAGCATAGTAACTTAAACCACAGGGATGCAAAATAAAAATCTACAAACAGGCCTCACCAAAAGCACAGCTCCTTTCATTAAAACAGCACAGATAATAAAATACTGTTATTAACTCATCATTTAATATCTGCCAACTGCAGACAAGGGAAGCCTTTAAGGTGCAATCCTTATAATTTAGCACAAATTGACTAGAATAGGCTTTATTCTACTCAGGGTTTTCGTTCTCTCTCTATAACTGATAAATGGATCTCAAAGGATAAATGCAACACTAAATCTGCTGTGCTTTACATACGAAACACTGAAAGCTCCCCTTGAACAGCGGCACACACTGAAAGCCCCTGATTAGTCTTAAGACTTCAATGACAAATCTCCTAATGAGGCACTGCCAAGCTCAGC